TAGGCATTACTACAAGCGGTCTGGAACTGGACATTGTAGAAGGCGGACATTAAATGTCCCTGAAAATCCTGAAAATTACTTTTTTTTATTAATATATATTTGTAGTAAATAATGATTACATTCATCCTGGGGAGTTGGTACATGTACTTAATTATCCCTTTGTCTCCCTTCCCTCCATTTCATGGTCCCCTTCCCATAAGCAAAAGATCTATTTCCTGTTATCTTTTATTTTGTTCTTTTAAAAAATACTTTGGTTTTCTCATATAACAGAAACAATGTGATATTTAAACTTGTGTGCCTGATTTATTTCACTTAATATGGTTTCAAGGTGCATCCATTTTCCTACAAATGACTCATTTGTTCTTCTTTATGGCAGAGTAGTACTCCATTGTGTATAAATACCACTTTTGCTTTATCCATTCATCTTAGCTTGGTGCCCTCAGTCTTAAAGGAGGATAAGATAGGTTAGGTAAATTTAGGGCTAATTATCCTTGTATCACTTTTAAAGTGATTATCATGCTTATGTGTAGAGTTAAGCAGGGATCTGGTCCAAAGTTTTAAGGTAATAAAGGAGACAAATACAAAAATGAAGGTAGAGATACCAAGCTTTGTCCCAATTTTAGTTATTCATTGGGCATCTGCAGGCCCAGGCACTGGGCCCCTGTTACAGTAGCATCAGGCATGGACCCCTCACTATTGACACATAGACAACATTTGCTGTTGTTGGGGCTGAGGATTTAGCTCAGTGGTTTCGCCGCCTGCTGCTCAAGTGCAAGGACCCGAGTTCGATCCCTGGTACCAAAAAAAAATTTGGTGTTGTTCCATAGTAATACAGAAATGTGGCTGGTACTGGTGGCCCAGTCAGGGACTATATTTACAAGCCCCTTTGCAGCTAGATGTGGTCATATGACTAAGCTACGCCCCTTGTTCAAGAAGCACCTGCTCTCTGTGGACTTCCAGTCCTTCCCCATCTGTGCTGAATAACCTTAGAAACTCCATGTTGAAGTTGGCTTAGAACTATTACATGAGGTAAACTTTATTCTTAAACCTTTTAGATGTAGCAACTCATTTTACACTGATACACAACAATAATAACAAACCCTAAAAACAGTTGGGGTGGCAAGAGTCAGGGTAAAGAAACTTAACACAGCAGGTCTAGTTACTTTTTGCTGTCTGCAAGTAAATCTGGAAACATGAAGAATTTTTGACCATCCCTTGGGAAAGCTTTGTTCAGAATGTTATTGATTTATGATTTTGTCATAAACACTTGCAGCAATGAACCATGCCGTACTAGTTTAAGTGTGATGATTAATTGTATGTGTCAGGCTGACTAAGGGATACCGAGGTAGCTGGTAAGACAACATACTAGGTGTGTCTGTGAGGATGTTCCTAGAAGAGATCAGCATTTAACTTGGTAGACTAAATAAGAAGATTGGCCTCCCAGTGTGGATGGGTGTCGTCTAGCCCCCAAAGGCCTAAACAGAGCAAAAAAGTGGGGAGAAAAGGTGAATTTCTTCACTCTGCTAGAGCTGGGACCTTTTCCTGCACTTGGACTATGGGCATCAATGTTCCTTGTCTTGGGCTTGGAACTTGTATCATTGCCTTTAGACTGGTTCCTCTCATTCTCAGGACTTTTTCTGCTACTTTGGTTTGCAGATGGCAGATCCTAGGTCTGGTCAGCCTGGATAACCATATGAGCCAATCCATCAAAATGCATTTCATCTATCTATCTATCTATCTATCTATCTATCTATCTATCTATCTATCTGTCATCTATTTCCTTATGGTTCTGTTTCTTTGAAAATCCTAATACATCAGGGTCCTTTGTACAGACATCAAAACTGATGATGTATATCTCATTTTATCATTAAGAGTCTTAAGTTTCAATTGCTATGGCCAGTAGCAGGATATAGCTAAGTTACCAGCCTCTCTATAAAAGCCACAGACCTGAAACTCAAAGGGGCTATGCCAGGCAGCAACATACTACACACCATCAGAGAGAGAAGGAAAGGGAAGGGGGCCGGGGGGGGGGAGAAGTGGGTGGGAGAAAGAATGAATGTGAATTCCTGTGTGCCTCCCTCAAGAAATGAGGATCCAACCAGCCTGTTACTTGGCCTTTCTGGGCTCTCTTGAAATCCATCTCCCCCCTGACACTTTTGCTCTATATCCTTTGCTGTAATAAGCCTTTATCACGAGTACTGCTTGCTATTCCATCTTGTGAGTCCTTCTGCCTGGTCACTGAATTGGGGAGGTTATGGGACCTCTAAAATGAAGACATAGGAGGAGTTAAGGGAATACAGAATAGTAAAGAACCTGGAGAGTCTTTGGCCTTGGAAGAAACTGCTCAGGGAAACAAGAGATATTCACTTATCAAGTTGTAATAACTATGGAAGAGAAGAAGACCAGAGTCAATGTTGATGACATTATGGGGAATGGGGACTGTATTATACAAGCTGCTGAGAATGTGAAAAAATACTCTAATAAAAAAATGTACAGGGCCGGGGATTTAGCTCAGTGGTTTCTCCGCCTGCTGCGCAAGTGCAAGGACCCGAGTTCGATCCCTGGTACCAAAAAAAAAAAAAAAAAATACAGTTCTGATCACAATCTGTCAACATAAAACCAGTCTTAAAATGTTCATAAACTTTCACCCAACAATTGCACTTCTAAATCTATCCTAAAAGTTAAGATTTTAGTTACAAAAATATTCCTAACAATGTTACCTTAATAAATAAATAAACCTGAAACAATTTCAGTATTGTTACTGATATAGTTAAATCATGGTGTGTTAATTTAATGGCATTTCAACAAAGAAAAATGATTTATAACTTTTTATATTAGTATAAATTGTATCCAGGGTTATGTACAAGGAACCAAGAAGTGGCTGATTCTTGAGAAGGGAACTGGGTAACAAGGGTACAGAGGAAGAGATCTTGTTTTTATTTCATGAATAACTTTTATATCTTTAAAATTTTATCCTCTTTTCATGAACACGTACTCAAAGAGTATATAAAAAGCCAAGTCAGACATGGTACGTAGCTGTAATTATAGCACTTGGAAAGCAGAGGCAGGAGGGTCACAAGTTCAAGCCCAGCCTGGGTGATTTAGTCAGATTGTCTCTAGTAATAGTAATAACACAGGCCGGGGATTCAGCTCAGTGTTTCTGGTGCCTGCCGTGCAAGTGCAAGGTCCGGAGTTTGATCCCCAGTACCAAAAAAAAAATAGTAATAATAATAATAATAATGACTGAGGATGTAGCTTGGTGGCAGAATGCCCTTTTGTTCAATTCTAGGTATTGCAACAAGTTAAAAAATAACCAGGTGTGGTGGTTCATGCTTCTAATCCCAGTACCTGGGAGGCAGAGCAGGAGGATCTTGTTCAAGATGAGCCTGGGATACATAGTGAAATCTTGACAAAAATAAAATTTTCTAGGCTATTCAATGAAAAATAAGACAGGAAAGGAAGAGACAAGAAAAAAAGAGAATAGAAGGAATGGAAACAAAGCTTTTGTAAATGAGGAGAAGAGGGGTTGAAGGAATGGGAGAGGAATGAGAAAAAAGAAGCAAGATATAGCATGTACAGGTAACATACGATGAGTATTATCATTATGTACATTATGTATATCAATGTTATTATGTATATCTAAAATGTACCAATAAAAATGAAAAAATACATTAAAGGATAAAAAAAGAAAAAATACAATATCAAAATATAGTGTTAAGGAAAAAGTTAGGTGTTGTTTTGTGATACTGGGAATTTAACCCAGGGTCTAGCTCATGTGGGCAGTGCTCTACCAAGATACAACCCCAGCCCAAGACATCATGTTATTAAAACAGCAAAATAGCAAAATCTTACCATATTGCTGTCTTTATATTTTAAAAGTACATAAGAAGGAAGATATAGACAAAAATGTTTTGCTTGGCTATATTTTCTTCTATATAAACATATGTTACTTTGGTAATAGAGAAAAAAGAAGTAGAAAACAAAAACCTCTTTTTCTCAGCATCTCCAGAGACTGCTGCAGTTTTGGTAGGTTTCACTTTTACCTCTTTCCCTCCAGGAAACAGGGATATCCAGGAACAAACTCAGGTGCCTTTCTATATATCAGAGGGAGCTGGAATCTCACTAGTGTCTATGCAGCTGCACAGGGCCCTGGGCTTGGTTTCATGTTGTGCTGTCACTGTTTTGAAAACAAGGAGCTCCACATTTCTATTTTGGTACAGGGGATTGAACTTGGGTCCTTGTGCTTTCGAGGCAGGAGGCAGAACCACTGAGCTAAATCCCCGGCCCCTCCACCTTTCTATTTTGTAGTGGGCACCAGTTACAATTATGTAACTGGTCCTACTTCTGTGCCTTATGTTGACAGATCACATCTCTACCACTGACCATGTTATCACTCTCCACTTGAAATTCCTTGAAAGCCTTTCATGGGCTGTACTTAAAATGCAATGTCTGCTTGAGTTTTGTGATCTAAATGTATTACTTCAATCAAGTAAGTATGAATGGATTATCTCTGATATGATTGACAAACTAGAAGACTAGGCACAAGCCAGAGATTTCAAGTTCTTTGAAAGGGAGCCAAACAATAACAAAATAGGGTAGCCTATTTAAGGTTTTCAGAGGCCCACCTCACCACCAATGATTGTTTGTAATACTCTATGGGTAAACAACTCATTTGCAGTCAACAAATCACTTAATAGAGGTCAAGTTTAGGAATTATGGGAGTAAGTCTCATTGCAGGGGCTAGAAGGGATAACTCAAGGAAGTTTTTGTTTTTGTGACACAATCTCCTATTAGTTCAGGCTGGCTTTGAACTCTTGACAGTCCTGACAGTCCTCCTGACAGTCCTCCTGGCTTTGAACTCTTGACAGTCCTCAGCTTCCTCAGTGCTGGGATTACAGGTGTGAGCCACCATGCCCAGCTTAAGGACTTTGATAATGAGAACATAAAGAATGGTAATTCAGGCTACTAAAATGACAATCTACTTTTTATTTTTGAAACAGGGTCTTGCTATATTGCCCAGGCTGGGCTCAAACTTGTGATCCTCCATCCCTGGTCTCCCAGAGTGCTGGGACTACATATGTGCACCACCAATGCCAGCAAAGTGACAAGTTTTCACGTTAGTAATATATTTTCAAGAAATGTTCTAAAATTTCTAATTCCTCATCATTTTCCCTATATTATACTGTTAATCTTTGGAACCCTCTAGTGGCCATATGAGGAAATGCGAATAAAATGCTTTTTTTTTTTTTTTTAAGAGTAGGAAAAATTTATTGAAAGATAGCTTCTGAGACAGAAGGGGGACCAGAAAGTGGGTTGCCTGCCCATCCCCGCTTCTCAAAGGTGTTTTATGGGGCAAAACCATGAGGTGAGCCGGGTACAAAGTGGAACAAAACTATAAGATCCAATGGAAAAAATCACAAGGTGGGCATGAGATGGGACAAAACCATGATCAACCAATAAGATTACAAGTACAGTCACCCAGGTAATATTGATTAAATGGGGATCAAATGGGAACATAAGTCACACAGGAGGAATTTTTGGAAAGGAAATAAGCTAGGGAGATTGATGTCTATTTAGAATATCATTTTCAAATTCATTTTAAAAGTAAATATATATCACCTGTGGTATGATGCTTTTAATTCTTTTGGGAAGATACTCATCAGAGGAATAGCTGGGTCAAATGAAGCTTCTAATCCTAGTGTTTTGTTTTTGTTTTTTTTTGTACCGGAGATTGAACTAAGGACCTCGAGCTTTCGAGGCAGGCGGCGGAAACACTGAGCTAAATCCCTGCCCTAATCCTAGTTTTTTGAGGAATCTACACACTGATTTCCACAGTGGTTACACCAGTCTACACTTTCACCAGCAGTGGAGCAGGCTTCCTTTTTCTCCACACCCCCGCCAGCATTTGCTATTGGTTGATTTCTTGATAGCAGCCATTCTTTCTGGAGTGAGGTGAAATCTCAGCCTTGTTTTTATTTGCATCTCTTGAATGACCAGTGATGTTGAACATTTTTTTCATGTTTATTTCTTATTTCTACTTCTTTGTCTGAGAAATGTCTGTTCATTTCAGATGCCCAGCTTCGGACTGGATCTTTAAATTTGAGAGGTCTGATTTTTTTTAAGTTCTTTATATATTCTAAATAGTAGACCTTTGTCTGATGAAGAGCTGGTCAATCCCCCCCCCCCATATTGTGGGTTGTCTCTTAACTTTGTTAGCGGTTTCTCTTGCTGTGCAGAAGCTTTTTAATAAGTGATCCCACTTGTTGATTCTTTGCACTAGTTCACATGTGACTGAGGTTTTGTGAAATCTTTTCCTACGTCAATGTCTTCAAGAGTTCTACCTAATCTATCTTCTAACAGGTTTAGTGTTTCTGTTTTGATATTAAGATCTTTGATTCATTTCAATTTTAGTTTAGTGCATGGTGAGAGATATGGGTCTACTTTTAATCTTTGGGCAGTTTTTCCAGCACTATTTATTAAAGAGGCTATCTTTCCTCCAGTGAAGATGTTTGGCTCCTTTGTCAAAAATGAGGTGGCTGAATATGTGCACCTATGTTTATAGCAGCACGGTATGTAATAGCTAAGTCTTGGAAACAGCCTAAATGCCTGTCAACTGGTTGACTGGATAAAGAAGATGTGGTTTGTTTTTTTTTTTATAAAGTGGAGTAATATTCAGCGATAAAGAATGATAAACTAGAGACATTTATAGCTAAATGGATGCATATCAAGGCCATATTCTTAAGTGAAATAAATAGGACACACATGTGTAAATACCAAATTGTCTGTCTGGTATGAGAAACTGAAAGTGTAAATGAGGACCAAAATGTATAATAGATAATGTGAAATAGGAAGCAAATGTTCAAAAGGGCAGGGAAAGTCGGGTGGGGGGAGAAGGGAAAGAAAAAAATATAAGAAGGAAATAATGGAAACAAACTTTTGTAAATAGGAGTGAAGGGATGGAAGGGAGGGCAGGGGAATGGGAAAAAACAAGAACTAAGATCTATCATGTACAGGTACAAATTCCCAGTGATGAATGGGATCATAATGTTTACCTAAAATGTGCCAATAAAGATAAAAATTTAAAAATATACATTTTAATTTAAAAAATTTATAAATATAACAAACTTTTAGATGTGTGCTTTATATTAACTTCCAATTTGACATAATAGCATAAGCACATAAATTTGCCCCTCTCTTCTCAGGATTTCAGTGGCAGGACAAGAAAGTGGCACAAGCAACAAATCCAAGACAACGTAAAAAAAGGTCCAGTAGTCTAAAACCTGAAAACCCTAAAAAACAAAGTATTTGGTTTCCGTCACTTCCCTGACATTCCAGGGGTGGAGTAAGGGGAGGAGCTGGCGAGGGCCTCCCAGTGGAGCACTCAAAAGGGAAGCAGTGGGGTCTGAAGCAGCAACTCCCATAGAGCACCAGCTGTGGAACTGCATAGCCCTTCTGCTATACATAAAGAACACATGGTTGCAGCATTTCCTGTCCTGAGTACTGCAAGCTGCTTTCCAAAGACTGTTCTCAGCTTCAGATGATCCCGGGCCTCAACATTCTAAAGAATGAAAGAAAGTACCACCCCTAGAAGAGAAAGAAAATATTTCCTCTGAAATTGTGGACGTCTCATGGCATCCTTCCATCACTAACAGTACACCTGCCTCACAGGGCCAGCCATGGGTAGGCAGTCAGCGTCCATTCCGGAGGCCGCTGTGGAGTCTTCACAACTTTGGCAACTTCAGGGCTGAGCTGTCCGGCAGTGGTAATCTTATTGTGGGAGCCTATGAGTGACCACTGACCTGATGGAGGGTTAGTCTCGGCAGGAGGATGGCTATTAATGGGTTGTTTTTAGGTGAAAGCTGAAGAAACCACAAATAAAATCCTCACCTTAAAACTTAACTTTAAAAAGAAAATCTTTTTTCATCTTTTTGGATTGCAGCAAATATTAGACTTTCTGATTTAAATTTCACTTGGGACTTATGCATACTGTATTTTATTTGATGGAGGTAGTATTAAAAATATATTCAATTTAGCATTAAAGAAGTGGCATAACAGTTTGTCTGAAGTAGGATGGTAGCCCGTGATTTCATTAATCTTCTGAGTAAGAAATGTTTAAAATGGTTCAACCTATCCCACAAGCCAGGTGTAGTGGTGCACCCATGTAATCCCAGCACTCTGAGAGTCTGAGGCAGGATAGCAAGCTCAAACTCAGTCTGGACAATTTAGTGAGACCCTGTCTCAAAAAATAAATTAAATTTTAAATTTAAAAAAGGGCTGGGGATGTAGCTCAGTGTGAAGACTCTGGGTTTAATTACTACCTTAAAACAAAAAGCATGGATATGCTTTCAAAAAACTTTTCTTATGGACCCTGAAATCTGAATTTCATAGAATTTTCAACTATCAAGTAATTTTGATTTTTCACCCATTTAAAAATGTAAAAACTGGGTTGGGCAGAATTTAGTTCAAGAAGCTGTGGTTTTCCAAGCTTTGGTCTAGAGCATTTTTTAAAGGCTGTGTGGTATTCTATTTTACTGATATAAACATTACTGGGATTAACTTTTTTGTGGGGGGGGGGTACTGGGAATTGAACTCACAACCTTGCCCTTGACAGGCAGGTGGCAGAACCACTGAGCTAAATCCCTGGCCCAAGGATTAACTTTTATAGCATAGTTTTATCCAGGTCTATTAATTATTTCCTTTGGATAAATTCCTAGAGGTGAATTTGCTGAACCAAAAGAGTATGTAAAATTCAATGCACTCCTCTCCCTGTTTTTATTATATTTCTTTGATTTATCTTATCCTCGCTTTTTCACTTTCCTACATTTATTTTATCCTATTTCAGCTCTAGTTCTTCCCATTTCCCACTGGGGATCCCTTTTTACATCCATGACCAGTGGCTGTGTAACTGGCCCAACTGATTTTCCTCCAGGTACTCAAACTGAAACTGAGAAAGGTTATGAAACTGACAGGGTGGCTGTAATCTTACTGGTTTAAAAACCAAGTATCTACTTCTCACGAATACTGTAAGCAAACATGAGTCAGAAAGGGGACTTTGTTTTTGGGGTCACTCGAGACCCATCATCTATGACATAACCTTCCCAACACAGGCCTCAGGGTCCACTACAGGAGAGTAAGGGCATGAAGAATTATTATTAACACAAACATGCTTTGCTTAGAAATGACACACCTCCCTTCTCCCTAACATTTTATCAGTTGAAGCATTTTATCCCTGGCTAACTTTAAAGGGATGGGAAAGTGTAATTCTCCCACATGCCCAGGAGATGAGAACAAGAAATACTGGTGAGCACAGTAATATCGCCCATATTTTCATATTTCTATAATTTAGATGCTTGTTTTTATGATGTATCCTGGCCACAAATTTTGGTAACACATCTTGAGTTTTGTCTACTTCATTAGACAAACCAATTTTCTTTTTTTTGGTACCTGGAGATCGAACACAGGACCTCATGCTTGCCAGGCAGGTGCTGTGCCAGACCTACATCCCCAGCCCTAGACAAACCAATTTATAAATATACAAATAAATACATCTATGAATAATGATAATTGAAATGCTATTATTTCTAAATGGATTGTATTCCTTTGTCACTTGTACTGTACTCAGTAGACATTTGACAAAACGATCCATAAAACTTGAAAGAAAATGTGTTTAAGCCTGGTTTGAGTTTATGCCTTGGTAGCTGAGTATGAACTAGAGAACTAGGTATCTGGTATGGGCTTATTTCACTCTTCCTCCTTTCTTGTTGGAAAAAAACATGTAGTGGGCCAGGGATTTAGCTCAGTGGTTCTGTCGCCTGCCTCACAAGCGGAAGGTCCCGAGTTCGATCCCTGGTACCAAAAAAAACCACACCGAAAACATGTATTTATAAGACTAGATAAGCAAGGCCTGTCACATTTACTTATGAGTTCTCGCCTGTTTGCCTGACTTTGGATACTAATGTATTTATATATGGCTGGAAACCCAAGCACTGCTTTGAAATGTCAGCTGAATAAAAACTCTTAAGATCCCTGTTCTTTCACTAATTCAAAGAAATGCTAACACAAAAATGACCTCCAGTCAAACAGAGCAACCATGAAACTAACTTAATTTCTCAAAATTTGGACACAATCAATTCCAGAACAAGGATAAGCACTCATATTTTGCTATTTTTATGTGGGTTTTTTTTTTTTGTACCAGGGGTCAAACTAGGGACCTTGTGCTTACGAGGCAGGTGGCAGAACCACTGAGCTAAATTCCCGGCCCCTTTATTTGTTTTTTAGACAGGGTCTCCCTGTGTATTTCAGGCTAGCCTTAAACTCATAGCAATCCTCCTGCCTCCGCCTCTTGAGATTACAGGTGTGCACCATGCTTGGCTTGGATTACAGGTGTGCACCCCCATGCCTGGCTTGCATTTCATTATTTGAACATAGGTATATGTGTTTCAGATTTTTTTTTCTCCCAGTACTGGGGATCGAACTCTGGACCTTGCACTAGCGAGGCAGGCATGGTGCACTGAGCTAAATCCCTGGCCCTGTTTGAGTTTTATAACTTAAATGTACACCACTGTGAACTCAGGTCAAATGATATATTATATACAATGTATTGTTATGAAATTTACATATATATTTTAATTCATATATGTAAATATAAAGGGTGATACACTGATATGATCTCAAATATTTTAAGAGAAAACAGGGGTACAGAAGTGTGTATTTACCATCATTAAAAAAAAATGTATGTAGTTTATGGCCACACCACCATGAACGTGCCCAATCTGTCTAAAAAATTTATGTATATGCAAGCCAGGCATGGTGGCACATGCCTATAACCCCAACACTCAGGAGGTGGAGGCAGGATTGTTGAATTTGAGGCCAGCCTGGACTATATAGCAAGACCTTGTCTCAAAAAGAAAATACAACCCCCCCCCCCGACAAGTATGTATATGTAAGCCAGTAGTGGTGGCACATACCTGTAATCCCAGCACTACGGAGGGCTGAGGTGGGATGACTACAAGTTTAAGGCCAGCCTGAGTAATTTAACAAGACTCTGTCTCAAAATAAAATTAGAAAGGGCTGGGGATGTAGCTCAAGGTGAAGAAATACAAAAAATTGGTAGTTGTTGCTCTAGAATACAGGTACTTTCATTTTAAACATTAACTACTTGAGTCTTTAAAAATTCTGTGGATACATATTTAAAGACAGCATTGTTTCTCTGGTGTGAGAAAATGAAAGTCAAAATAAGAACTAAAATGTATAATAGATATTGGGAAATGGGAAGAAAATGTTCAAATGGGAAGAGGAACAAAGGAGGAGGGAGGGCACAAGGATGGAAGGGTCAAGAAAAAGAATTTTAAAATAGGAAAAAATGGCAAGTTTTGTACATAGGGAGGGGAGGGGGCTGGAGGGGGGGAATGGGATAAAATTAAAATAAAATTTATTATAAATTAAAAATAAAAATCCTGTGGATATACTACTTGAAGCTTTTAAGACGCAGGCATGGTGGCACATGCTTATAATACCAGCATTCAGGAGCCTGAGGCAGGAAGCCAGCCTGGGCTACCTAGTGAGCTGAAGATCAGCCTGAACTAAATAGCGAGACCTTATCTCAAAAAACCAAACCAAACTAAAACAAAAAACTTTTAAAAAGAACCCGATGTGTTACTATATAGGAGACTCTTACAAGTTAAGAATAAAGTCAAATATGGAAATGGCCAAAGGAAAAGGAAAAACAATTCACTAAAAAATACAAGTTAACTGTTAAACGTAGGAAAGTACATTAACACATGCCGAACAAAAAGAAATATGTATAACTGTAACAGTATCATTTCTTCTTTCTCAATTTGGCAAAAATCCAAAGGCCTCTAACATTTGATAATACACTTCCACTGGTAAAAGTACAAGCCTTGAAGGTAATTTGGAAGGATTCATGAAAATTTAAATGTGCAGTTCAGAATCCAGCAGTCATATTATCCTTCAAAACAGAGGACAGCAGGCAAGGATATTTTATCTATTTGAACCAGTGAATCAGAGTAACCTAGATCACAGGCTCTAGAATCAGACTACCTGAGTTCAAGTCCCACTTTCTAGCTTTGTGACACTAGCAAATTTCTTAATTTTTTGGCCTTAGGTTCTTCATTTATAAAGAATAACATTCATTTTGTAGAATCCTGTTGTGAGAACTATATAATACATGCCTAGTAATAAGTAATTTATTATTGACAAACTCAGAGGCAAAAACAATTGAATTTAAAATATTTTTATTCATTATACAGTAAATACTGTCCCCAATTAAAAATCAATGTCTCTTAATCTGTCCAGCTTAACTGAAAAATTCAGATATTTCTTTTCTTTATCATGTACTGACATGATACAGGATGTAAATGTCAATTAATAGACAATTATTAAGTAATTTCATACATATGCAGAATCTTGGATAAATGGTTAAAACTGCAGACCAATATTAAATGTAGGCACATGGACATTTCAGATACGCCAATAGGTTTAACAGAGATGTGTTTGCACTGATTTTTAGTAATCAATTTGCTTTCAGTCAATCTTTAAATACCCAATTCCAACTCTTCCAGTTCCTGAAGAATGGCTGTCTCTTTTTGAATTTTCTCCAACTAGAAAAGTATAAAACAATGAAGTGATTAAATTGGAAATGAAATAATTATTGGATTTGTAGTATGGCAGAAAAATTTAGAGAAGCAATAGTTCTTACACTTTATCAGATACACTGGAAAACACAGATTAAAAATACTGATTAGAAATAAATTCTAAATTGCTATCTGAAATGAATCAAAGGAACAAAGGACAGAAGCTGTCTTACTATCTCCCTTTCTACACTTGGCCTCAAAACTGCTAAGGACAGGAAGGGGAAAAATGATAACTGAAATACAAGAATGAAGAGATTAATTTGTATAATACACTGCCACCATTCTTAGCAGCTGTGGGGGACTGCCTTATTGATTTTTTTTTTTTTGGTACTGGGGATTGAACTCGGGACCCTGCGCTTGCACGGCAGGTGCTGGAACCACTGAGCTAAATTCCCAGCCCACCTCCTTATTGATTATGCCCAAAGCAGGCTGTGAGCAGTGCAGGTTGTTCAGAGTTTTGAGTGAGTTTGGCCAAAGGCTACATGTCGAGATCAGAGTGACTCTTATTCAAATTCCGTTCCCACAATTAAAACCTTCTTAACTAGAAGAACAAGGTTATTTGCTAACTACAACCCCATATTTTGTCTATTCATTGAAGAATGCTTTGTCTTTTCCTTTATAAGCCTTGCCTGCATCAGTAACATGTTCATAGCAACTGCATGTCCCCTCAAATAGCCCCTTTACCCCAATCTGACCATGATGTCATCAATAAATAGCAGTGGCTTGGACTGGACAAGCTCTTTGCTGGTCACTCAGCACTGGCTGTCCTGGCTCCCCATTTCTCTGTCTCTTTAATTCTGTCTTTGAGTCTTTCTTTTAACCTTGCATCATTGCACTGAGCAGGAGATCAGAACCTGTCAAAGGCGTCTCTGATAAGCAGTGACAGCATTAACATGGCCCTCAGGAAGAGTACCTGTTATTCACTGTAATCTACTGTATATCATATCCTTCCCTATTAAAGGTTAAAACTTTTAAGAAGTACACATATTACAAAATAAGTTTAAGTCTTTGTGCTCTTTTTTTCTGATTAAATATTTACTTATAACAAACAGGGAAAGGTAGTAACGACTAGTAACTCAAACAAAAAATGCAAGAAGATACCTGATTTTTTTCTAGCTGTTTTCCAGCTGCTGCTTGTTCTTTAAGTTGTTCAATTGCTTTCAGTTTCTGCGAATATCAAGAATTGGTCAAGAGAAAGAAAGGAAAAGGCTAGTTCTTTTTTTTGTGCCGGGGATCGAACTCGGGACCTTGCGCTTGCGAGGCAGGTGCTGGAACCACTGAGCTAAATCCCCGGGCTGGAAAAGGCTATTTCTAATGTGAATTTTCTCATGAAGAATTCAATAATGATTATGAAACTTGAATCAAGTAGAATTATCTTACATTTCTATCAAAAATAGTCTGAAAATTAAAAACATGGGATCTGGCAACATTTTTTTTTAAGCTTTTAATGTTATCATTTGTGCATACACACACATATGCATGTATGTAAATATATCACTAATTTCAACACCCCGTTGTACCTGAACCATGTCTGCCTTTAACCACTTACCAGTTCAATTACTTAAATACAAGATGACCAAAAATTGCTTATTTTTTCATTAATTTTTGTTAAGATTATATAACAGGAAATATAAAATGACACCTGCCCAAGTGATGCTTGGGCTCACAAACAAACGCACTGTCCAAGTGACACTCAGGGTAAACTGTTAAGTGGTTAAATGGAACATCATAATGCAGCTAGGAAATACTCCAGAGACTTGGTTGTAATTTTATAAGTTAATTAACTTTTGGTCTCTGTTTCTTCATCTTTAATTGTTGTTATTGTTGCTTTGATAGACTAGGACTCAAACCCAGAACACTGGGCATTCTAGGCAAGCACTTTGTACTAAATTATAACCTCTGCCCTATTTTTTCATCTTTAAAACTGAGATAAAGTATGTTTCTACCTATCTTACAGATATATAATGAAATAATGAATATAGAAGTGTTCATTTTCTGTACAAATGTAGATTATTACTTTTAAAAATTAATAAAAGTAGTAATAGCCTTCAAGCATTTATGAATAGAATTAAAATGAGTACAATTCCTAAATCACAGTATTTCATAGCGGGAAAGCTACAAACTTCTTAGATATCACGTTAAAGTATCAAAGTATTCTTTTTCTTTACGTAATTCTTAGGTACACTCCTTTCCATATACACTTTTGTTTTTCATTTAAGTCTCTCACCTTCTTCAAATTCTTAATTTTTTTGTCTATTTCAGGGTCACCAAAAGTTGACTGAGAGATAGTGTTTTGTGGTACACTCTGTGGGGCAGGAGTGGGTGTCACATCTGGACTTTTGTCACTTCTTGCTTCCTGCAGGAATAAGTTTTAAAAATTCAAGTTAAAAAATGGAAACATTAAAGTACTTCAGACCACATAGTCTTAGTATATATAACACAGAAACCAAGCACTTCATTTTATATAAAGAATCTGAATTAAAGGTCTTGTGAACTCTGCTACACATTCCCCTACTAGACAAAAATGAAAGGACCTTATCAGAGTAAACTAGGAGATTTCTGAATCACTCAACCAATACTTGAGATTTCTGGATATTCTGGGATGTGCTATTACCATATATAGATGGTTTGGAAATGTGAGAGGGCCATGAAGGTTTCACTCTTGTGATATACTCCAAAACTATCAAGCATGTTTGAGGCAAGTGCATGTAACAAATGATGTTATGAGGAAAATATTCTTACCTTTCTTTACAATCACAGCAATTCAGCTAGGCAACAAAGTGCCATGGAAAAGTTTTTCCTATTTTGGAACATTAATGCCCAATATGGAACTGGGGGCCTTTGGAAAATGGTTAAATTATAAGGACCCCATCCTCAAGAAAGGGATTAGCATCCTATAGAAAAGGCTCAAGAGATGCGTCCTGCCCTTACCATCATGTAAGGATACAAAAAAGTTGGCAACAATGAGAAACGAGCTCTTTCACCAGATACTCCCTTGCTCTCAGACTCTCTTGGCTCTCTAGAACTGTGAGTAGTAAATTTCTGTTGTTTAAACATTACCCACTCTAAGGTATTTTGTTACAGTAGTCTGAACAGACAAGATACCCACTTTGTCTGAATCTCAAGAATGTGTTCACCATGACTTCACTAACAAGACGTTTCTAGCCTAGTTGGTCATACTACCATGATGAGCCATAGAATACCATAATGTCTCAGTTATCACAATGGTATGACTTTTCAACTATATAATCAAATACAACATTACTTTGGCCAGGTGTGGTGGCACACACCTATAATTACAGCTATTTGGGAAGCTGAGGCAGAAGAATTGCAAGTTTCAGCCCAGTCTGAAGAAACTGGTGAAAACTTGTTTTAAAATAAAATTTAAAAAGGAGTGTGGGCATAGCTTATTGGTAGAATAAAATTGAACTAGTATGTACAAGGGCCCGGGTTCAATCACCAGTACTGCAAAAAAATCCCCCCCCAAATAAAAACAAAAATGGAAAAAAAAAATTAGAATAATTGTGGGTATCTCTGGTAGATTCTCAGCTAAAGAATTTCATATGTCATATTACACTAAGTGACAAAATAGCTGTTCTGTCATACAATTTCCAGCCTCTCTTAAACTACACTTCACACAGGTTCTACCACAAAGGCTCTACAGCAAGGAACACACTATAGCCCACTGGAATCTCAGGTTTTAAGATAGGGTCCAGCATCCTTCATCACTGCTACAGTATATATCTTTAATGTCCCCCAAAGGTTCATGTAGTAAACCTTAGTTCCCAGGTGCTACTGGGAGACAGACAGCCTTTCCGAGGTGTGACCTAATGGGAGGTTCTTAGGTCCTTGGGGGCATGCTTTTGAAGGTGATGGTGGGACCCCAGGCCCTGTCTCTCTTCTCTTTGCTCCATGGCTGGTGATGAGGTGAGTCATTTGGCTCCAATTCATTTTTGCCACAATGTGCTGCCTGCCACAGGTCTAAATGATGGACTGGAACTTCCAAACCAAGACAAAAGAAATCTTTTGCCTTTGTAAGATGATTATCTTGGGTACTTTGTTATAGTGATGAAAGGCTAACAGTCATCCATTATATAGACAGGATTACTGAGAAACTCACGGGCAAACACTAAGGAAAGATATTCCGGGTATTTAAAGTCTAACTACATTTTGTAACGTAACATGGTCGTTAGGACAACAGTTCCTTAAACTTTAATGTATAAAGTTAATTTAATGGCCTTTTGTTTGTGAAAAGATTAGTTACTAGTACCCCCAAATACCTTTGCAGCTTTTTTAGCTTCATGCTTTCTTTGATTTTTAAGGGCTGTTTTTGATAATGGTTTATCATGTCCTGGTTGTGGTTTCATATTCTGGGGTGGTTCTTCTTCATGCTATGGAAAATGAAAAATAAGCAATTTTGAAATGGAGTCCATGTTTTAAAAAATACATACAATAACAAATTATATACTTTTGCTAATACAGGATAAACTTATTTTATCAAATTTATCTCAATATCACTGGCAAAGAACATTTCAAAATTCTTATCAGTAGTGGTACACTCCAACTGTGAGAATGAAATTAATGAAGGTTTTCCTATTAGCTGGTATACATCTTTCAGGTACATATTTTTTAAAAAAAAACTAGCAAAATTCCCTTTAGTTTTATTTAAAGAACAGAGTTTTTCTTAGCACTATTATAGATACATGATTCTTATGAAACCAGATATCAAAAACACCTTCTTCGGAGGTCTTTTCATCTGACTACTGTCAACAGAAACCCAGTTGCCTCACAAAAAGAACTACTTGTCAGATCTTTATTTGTAAAATCAGAGATTAGAAGATTAAGCAATGTTTAAACATAACATAGGAGTTAAGAAGTTACAGACATTTTGTTCAGTCAGGTAGAAAGGGCTGTTCTTTTGGGTTTTGGGAAGTGAGGAGTGGCACAACAGGGGCGTAAGAATATTTATTCTTAGGAAAAGTATCTACTTCCCTGAGTGCCTAATAACCAAATGACTATACAGCCCCTTTTACTTAGAAGAGTCCTGGTTTATTGCTATTGTGTGGTCACTTTTCTTTTTTTTTTTGTACCAGGGATGGAACTTGGGTCCTTGCACTTGCGCAGCAGGTGGTGAAACCACTGAGCTAAATCCCCGGCCCCTGGTCACTTTTCTGATAACACTAATAATACTGCTGCTCATTGTTGATGCACCTTTATTTCCTAACACCATTACAGAAACTCAGGGATTAACTGGTGTTCTTTTCTTTTTTTCCTTTTTATTTTTTAAATTTATTTTTAATTGGTGTTCTTTTCTGAGCTTTGAAATGCTAACATTTTAAAAGTATTCCAGAATCCGATCAATATTCTGGTCATCATAACTTTAAAACAAAGGTGGGGAACTAATGGCCTGAGGATAACAAATGTGTTTTGAAAATTGGGAAATTTCATATAAGCATCTAGATATACTGTCTTGAAAACCAAACATTTTGACAAATTAAACCTAAAATTTCCTAGGTAAAGAATGAGTTATTACAGTATAGCTGCTATAGCCTTTACAGAGGTCATGAGCTCTCTCACTTACTATTCTCTCCCACTTACTATTGCATTACATACTAGCCTAGCTTAACAGACACCTGCATTTGAGCTCCTGAGCTACAAAGTCAGTATCATGCTGTTATCTTTCCCAGAAATTAAAAATATGAATTCTTTTAAATTAAACCTCATTGTTAGCTCAACAAGGTGAGCTGCTCACCATCTTCAACAGTCAATCCTTAATGATTTTCATTCTAGGGTTTATATTCTATTTTTTTTTCTCTAGGGTTTATATTTTAATCATATATTAATTAAGTAACACAAGAACAAAAGAAAAAGTTCTAAATAACTCCACACACTGGAAAATTTTTCCTACCGAAGTAATAAAACTTTACTTACCAATTTGGAATTGGTGATTGGTTTATTTCTTAAAGCTGGAGGTCTATAAGCTGTTGCAACCTTAGGCTCCTCACTGGGTACTTCACTTGGAACTGCTTGGTAAGTTACTGTTTTTGCTGGAAATATTCCATCCAAGAATGGCTGCCAAGAAACCTGCCACAATTCTCCATTTGATGGGACATCATACTTGTGCAAGATAGAGCCAGTATAATGCCAAATCTTGTACCCATTATTAACACGTAACCTGGGAGCACATGTGGCTGTTAAGATATGCTCACCATCTGGACACCAAGCAAAATACGTAGAATCAGAAGCTACTGGTTTAGAAATAAGTTTGTAGTTTTTAACATCCCATACTTCCATTTGTCCCCTCAGATTTCCAAATCCAGCTAGTACTAATATATGTCCATGAGGGCTGTAGTAGGCTGCATTTCGAGGACCAGTTCCAAAGTCAAACACCGGATCACATTTCAAATTGAAAATTGTTGCTTTGGCGGGCATAAAACCATATACAACACAAAATTCAGTTGAACTAGAATTCCAAACTACATCATAAATGGGGCCATTTTTTGCTAGAAAAAGATGTAAAACCCAAATTAGCAATGAAGAACTGTATGAATATATTTATTAGCACATTATGTAATACTCATAAATACTTCAAACAGTAAAGAAAATCCCTCCCAAAATGTCAAGACATATTAATATATTCCCATGTGATATACTATGAGAATTGCTGTATAACATATGACCATATAATTATTTAAGAATCTCTACTGAGGCTGGGCACAGTGATGCACACCTGTAATCCTAGCACTCAGAAGGGTAAGACAGGAGGATTGCTGCAAGTTTGAGGTCAGCCCAGGCTACACAGTGAGAAAAAAAAAATTTCTACTGAGTCTTAATTTCTTTTTAACATTTTGGCAACGTGGGGATCACAAAGCCAATATAAATTTATGGTAACAGTTTCTGACTATTAAAAAACAAAAAATTATTGAGATGAGATCTAGCTTTTTGTGCCAGATGGTCTTTAACTCCTGAGCTCAGGATTCTCTTGCCTCAGCCTCCCAAGTGCTAAGAATAAACTACAGGCCTATTTTCCTATACTAAGAACATATTTTTTGGAAGCAGTAATATATGCTCATGGTAATAAACATACAAGCTATATAAAAATATATACCATAAATAAGTCCTTCTATAAAAAGGCAACCCATTGTATTTTTGTTTGTTTTTTTGTTTTTTGGTACCGGGGATCGAACTCAGGTCCTTGCACTTGCGAGGCAGGCGGCAGAATCACTGAGCTAAATCCCCAGCCCTACCCATTGTATTTTTTGCATATCCTTTCAGAATATTTTTGTTGAAATAAAACATCTGTCTCTTATATACACATACAAATGACAAAGATCTAAACCTGTTATTTCATTTCGTACTTCATTTTGAAGACTTTTCTTCTTATTTTGGTGGTACTGTTCATATACACAGTGAGGGCCTTCTGACTAAGCTACATTCTCAGCTCTCTTGATTTTTTATTTTGAGATGAGATTTCATTAAATCACTAAGTTGCCCAGGCTGAGCTCAATCTTCAGCTCATCTTGCCTCACCCTCCCAGAGTGCTGGGATTACAGGCATGTGCCACCAGGCCTGGCTGAGATTTTTCAACATAAGCACATTAAGATCGATCTCATTCTTTTTCAACTGCACTATATTCTACTACAAACCTTGCTTTATCTTTCCCATTATGAATATATACAAATACATCTGTAGGAGTGAAAAAGTGCAAGGCCAAACAGAGTTTAGATTTACTTGGTAACATTATTACCAAAACGTCCCTCAGAGATGTTGTACCAACTTACATGCCTATAGACGGGTTCTGATGGCACATATTTCCCTTTCACTCTCATAACTATACAGTTTCTTATTTTTATCTTTACCAATCTATTAAGTAAAAAATTGTAGCTTGTTTTTTTGTTTTGTCCAGTACTGGGGAGTGAATTCAGGACCTTGCCCTTGCAAGGCAGGTGTGGTGCCACTAAGCTAAATCCCTACCCCTCTATCTTGTTTTATTCTATGTCTTTAATTATAAGCTAAGCATCTTTTAACATAAGTGATTTTTTTTCCTGTAGATTTTACTGTCCATGCCTATTATTATTTTGTAAATGACTGGACTTTTACTTAAATTTACTTGATATATTAAGAAACTTCAAAAACAAAAACAAAACACCAAGAATCTTTATCCTTTCTCATACTCATCCCTTGTCTGCTTTTTAAAAAAAAATATTACTTTATTGGTACATTTTAGGTATACAATATTAATGACATTCATCATTGGAAATTTGCACCTTTACATAATCTCTCTTGGTTCTTATTTTTCCCCCTTCCCCTGCCCTCCGTTCAACCCCATGTCTGCTTTTAAAAATTATACTTTCCCAGTGTTTTGTTTGCTCTCCTTATAGATCTCTTCTTCCTCCATTGTCATTCATTTTTTTGTTATTGTTACTGTTTTGCGACAGGGTCTCGCTAAGTAGTTCAGGCTGGTCATGAACTCACTATGTACCCCAGACTGGCCTTGAACTCGCAGTGATACTCCTGCCTCAGCCTCTCAAATGCTGGAATTACAGGCATACATAACAATGCCTGGCTGTGAAATCTGTAATTTTTCCATATTAAATTTATTATTTTTCTCTCTTATGATTTCTAGCTTGCTTAGAAATTCTTTTTCTACTCTAGAGTAGAAAAAAACATTCTCTCATACTTTCTTCTAGTTCCTTTGAAGTTTTTATGCCAGTTGTTCCCAAATCATAAATTAAATGATCAGTATTTTCTCCACTGATTCAATGCTAACTTTATTACATATGAATTCTTACAGGGGTATAGAAGTCTATTTCTGGACTTCGGTTAACTTGGACAGAAATGACATATTTATAAAATTCTCCTTACTAAAAGGTCATAGTTTGTCTCTGAACAGTTTTAAAGTTTTCTTTCCATATATTTTTTGTTATATATTTTTTATTTTTGCTGCATATGAAATCTTTATTTTTTAAAAAATGGCTGTTTATATATTATAATTTCATTTATTCAGTTTTCTTTTTTCAAAATTATGTTTTACTTCTTTTGATCAGTTATATTTACTAGGTATTTTGGCCAGTCTTGTTTTATTTGCCTTCAATGGGAATACAGTTTTTTTGTGTATGGAAGATTACCCTACTCACACATGTTCAATTCAAAATGAAAAAAACTGGGAAGCTGCTAGTATTTAAAATTAATTTAGCTCATCCAAACAACAGATGAGCTGGGAGCAGTGGCATACGAAGGCTGGGACAGGAGGACAGGAAGTTTGGGGCCAGCCTGAGGTATACAGTAAGTACACACTTGCCGCAAAAAGCAAACAAAGATGAAGTGGAAACATTCTTGGGTATTCATAATTGTGAAACTCTCTAGATCTATTTCCTGAGTGTTATTACCTCACTCAGGAAGCTCTACTACTACTAAAATGCTGGCACAACTCAAATGAACTAATTGGATTGTCAAAACAGGGTATATTTGAGAATGATTTTGTTTTTTAAGAGGAATTTTACCTTAAGACTTATTAAAGTATTTGAATTCCATCACTTGAAGAATTTAGATTATACCATTTTTATGTCATATTATTTTTTTATTATCATTTTTCTCAAAAGAAGACTACAGGAATACTCACGTAATTGCACCACAGCACTTTCTCCATTTGTCGCAATGTAGTGCAGCGTTTGTTCTCCATAGTAGGAAGCTCCTGTCTTGTCAACTTCTGTACTAGCTATTACCAACACAGCAGTGGCTATAACAGCAAAAACTTAAAATTAAATTTAGAACACAAATTAAATGATAAACATCAGTATTCTTTTTTTGATGCATCTATGAATATAACTTTAAAGTAACACTTGAAGAACAAAATGAGAAATAAAAATAATTTGTCATACCTTTTTTATTCCACAACATTGTAACCTTATCTGCTTTAAAGAAACTCTTGTTGGCTAAAGCTACATGAGGTCCAGCAAAGTTGGGGTACTGGTATAATCTAACAAATGAAGGTGCACCTTTACTTCCTGGAACATAGACAGCTACCTACGATACAGACATAAATTATCACTTAATTTTTAAAGCATATAAACTAGGATGGATATGTTTTTATAGCTATCAAAAAATAAAGCAAAGCAAAACATCCCCCCAACACAAAAAACTAAGAAAAGGTTCAAGCATGTAATATTCCACATAAACAAAAACACAGCAATTACCTTGTATGGTTGGGGTCCAGGTGATAAAACAAAATCATTAATTTTTTGCAAATGCAACTTATTTGCAATTGTATCTAAAAAAAAAAAAGTAAATGGTGTTAGGTTGATGAGAGAAGCTAACAGGGACATATGAAGCTCTGAGTATAACTACTACTAAAGTATTCATCAGAGTATTGTATAGGTAAGGCAGAGCAATACAGCAGCAAAAGCATGGGTTGGGAATAAGATCAACTTAGGCCTGAATTCCTACTCACTTACATTTATTAGCTGTGTGAGCTTGGAAAAGTAATGGGATTATATCACCTAACTCTCAGTGACTGATTTTAAGAATACAATACCGGGTACACAGTAGAGTTCTCTTCAACCTCTAAAATAAATAGTGTTAGAGCCCAATTGGTGGAAAGTTTGACCCTGGCTTACTACTGTAGAATGTGAACATGGAAATTCTGTAGTCAGTGTGAAACACAGAAACATGAAAATGATCCAAATAGTAGTAATGATGGCTGATATTCATTGATGCTTACTCTATCACAGGTAGTCAGAACTCATACTGCTTACAATACTGCAACTCTAGTTAATGGGAATAAAGAGGTATTAGTATTGCTCTTTCTTTGTTTCATTTCAGAGGTCAATAGTTACTCAAAAGTAGCACATTAAATTGTGAAACTGGTGCCCGTCACTTTTCTGGAAAGCTAACAAAAACTAAAACAAGAAAGCAAGGGAATCCAAAAACTAATGAGGTAGAACCTCAAAAGTACAAAAATGAAGTACAAGATATAGCAAGTAGATACTACTCAAAACTCAAAAGTCTATAAAACAATTTTTGGTACATGTGAATAGAGTTACCAATTCTTATTCTACTATAATATAGTCATAAGTGAACAATCACTAATGAAATACTCTAAAGACAAAAATAAATGCAATTTTTTTCTTCTAAAATTATTTTCAGCAATCACATTACTGCTGTTATAGTTGGTGGTATTCTGAGAATTTTATTTGTAAGAATTAATGAACAAAGCAAATGAATATAAATGTAATATTCCCAAATTATCAGTTCTCAAACCCAGAGGATAGTTGGCATCAGCAAAAGGTAATAACAGATAATGTTAAGTAAAAATTTTGCAGATTTTAATTTAAATGGAATTATAGAATTACCTCACAATTATTATAGCCTTAAGAACAGAAAGAAAAAGAAGGCCTAGAAACAATGATCAGTGCCTTAGCAATGAGAACCTTTAAATTTAAGATTGTGGTCTCTAAATACCATTTTTAATAAAAAGGAAACAGGGTTTCTTGGAGAATCAGTTGATTGTAGATATATACCAAGAAATACAAAAGACAGCAGAATAGCTTACATATAGCAGAGAAGTCATTTAAGACTAAATGAACAAGGATGAGACAATTTGAGCATCAGAAAGAATAATAACTGCAATGGATTAAACCACATATTTTAAATCCATAGTTCATTAAGAAAAAGGGAGAAAACTAAATGTTTACAATAAAGGTTGCTACAGAAAGAATATATTAAAATTGGGAAAGAATAATTTCTTGCCTTTTCTCATAGTTTCAAGTAGTAACCACATGGTATATGGGGGAATTTTCCTTTGTAATAGTACAGATAATACACAAAAAGTAATGGGCCGGGAGAGGTAACACAGGTCTATAATCCCAGCACTTAGGAGGCTGAGACAGGAGGATCACTACGAGTTGGAGGCCAGCCTAGGCTACATGTGAGTTCAAGGCCAGCCTGAAGTGCGGAGCAAGACCTTGTCCCAAACAACAACAATAAAAAAACAAAAAACAGGAGAGAGAGAGAAAGAGAGGGAGAGAGAGAGTCAATAAGTTTGTCATCACCGATGAAATAATGCACGTGGGCACCGAATATTTATGTCAGCACCCTATATTAAAGACAACCAAACACTACATGCTTATTGATAAAAGAATACCACTTTATGATATAGTCTTGGTCTATCCACCAAAAAAAAGGAACATGAAGTTGACCAACTCTAAGTCCAACTAGGGTAAAGATGAATTATCTTAAATTATACCATGGGATATAACAGTAAAATTCAAACTATGGTATATAATAAAATTATTTCATAAATTCTTCCATACTAAAATTGTTGTTTTCAAAGAAGTGAACTTCGTTGTTAACATTTCGGGCACAAATGATTTCATCTTCTGACCAGAATGGATACCTGAATCACAAAGAAATAATTAAAAAAAGAAAAATTAGTCAAACTGTAGTATCATATTACAATGTTAAAGTTTGTGATATAGCTTACTATTTAAGGACAAATATTTGTGACAAAAAATATTGTCCCTTTTCTCTTAAAGGAGAAGCTGGCATGGTCCCACACGCCTATAGTTCCAGAACTTTAGGAGGCTAAGGCAAGAGGATCGCAAAGTCAAGTCCCACCTGGGAAACTTAGTAATACCCTTTCTCAAAATAAAAAGTGGCTGGGGATATAGCTCAGGAGTAAAGCGCTCCTGTGTTCCATCTCTAGGAGGAGGGGGGAAAAAAAGACTATACAAAGGAAGACCACATTTTCACTCTTTACATTCCTATATACAAAATCCTTAAAGATCTAGATTTTGGTTTATTTTCAAAGTCAATACCAAAGAAACAAACATTATACCACAAAAATATTTAAAGTATTTTGAAAATAATTAGCACTTTAAAGCATTTATTTACCAATTTTGTGCTTTTTTCTGTATAAAAGATTTCAAACATGTTCCAGTTTTCACATCATAAAGTTGTAGGTTGGGTATCCCCGCTGTGCCATCTTTAGAAGCTGCAACAAAACAAAAAATTTTTTTTTGCAATAATCATCTCCTAACACTTTTTAAAAAAGATTTCATGCTTAGAAAAAGTTTAAACATAGTTATGAAGATCAAATAAGAGCTGCCTTAGGTCAACTTTCCTCTCTAGCCTTAATTATAGACTTAATCATTCATCCCTAAAGCCATGACAATGCATGTATGTTTGAGCAAAAGCCCAGCATTTCTGAAATAAATTAATTACTACAGGTTTTACGAATACTTAAGAGATTTCAATCTATTAAGTTTCACATGGATTACTGTCAAATGGATTAAATCATGAAAGGATGACTCTATGGTATAAGTCATTTAAAAAAGTTTTATAAAACCATTCATGATTCTCAAATTCTCTTTTATTTACTTGGAAAAAAAGATTCATTAGAGTCCTGTCTCTTGAAAGAACAAAGCCCAGGAGGTTTGCAATCTAACAATGAACAATATTAACATTTTCTTTGTTTTTATTTTGTCATTATTAATATTAGAAAATGTTTATTAAAATAAGCCCCCATACCAGTTCCCAGTATTTTATTATTCATGTATATTCATGTATAATACATTAAATAATGTATTATCATGAGAAATCTTTAAATGTGTTGGAAAATGGCAGTTTCCTACTCTGTAATAGCACACATTTCTTAGGTGTTATTTCTACTGTATTTCCTTTCCCTTACAATGGTTTAAAACGTTGACTTTTAAAGTTAGAAATCTCTTGTTTTATTTACTTTCTAAATTTTTTCTTAAGCTTTTTCTTTTATCTCAAAACAGATCTTTTTACTAACTTACTATACTTATTATACTTAATATACTATATTCCCCTTTATCTATGGTTTCACTTTCTGAAGATTCAGTTTTCTGGCAGTCAACTGTAGCCCAAAAATATTAAATAGAAAATACCAGAAATAAACAATTCCTAAATTTTAAATGGTACACCACCCTGAATTTTGTGCCATCCCAACTCTCTGTCCCTCCCAAACAGGAATCATCCTGTTAGTCACTTAGTAGCCATCTTGGTGATACTGTGCTTGTGTTCAAGTAATCCTTATTTTACTTAATAAAGGGCTTAAATGATAAAAGCAAGGATGATGACAATATGGATATGCCAAAGAGAAGCTGTCTAGTGGTTCCTGTAAGTGAAAAGATAGAGGTTCTCAACTATTTAACATAAGGGGAAAAAATATGCCAAGACTGCTAAGATCTATGGTAATATATCTATCCATAAAACTGTGAAGAAAGAAAAGGAAATTCATGCTAATTTTGCTGTTAGATCTGAAACCATAAAAGTTACAGCCACAATGCATGGTCTTAGTTAACATAGAAGAGGCATTAAATTAAAGGGCTTGGCAGTTTCTGACATTCACTAAGAACATATTTTCTCTGGATAAGAGGGGATTACTATACCTTAAAATTAATTTCAGAACACTGTATTTGGAAAACACAAATATTGTTGATTATAAATATTCACAAATACCATCTACTATTGTAAAAACTAATTACTGTCTTACAAGGTTATAAACTGTTCCGGTTTTTCCACTAAATTTAATTGGTCCTACCAGAATTATTTTTACAATGGGAAAATACTTACTAGTGTAAGGCTGCCATGTTGCCAGGATAGTGTTTTGGGGCGAGAATTCAAGGCAAACTGTCTTTGGGAGGTCGAAGGAGTGCAGTAGTCTCTTGTTAGTGACACTGATAATATTTACTCTGGTTTCAAAAGAGATTACTTCAGCAATGAAATACCATTTTATAACAGCCAGCACTAACCAAAACATTCACACCTCTTTTCAAATACAGATCACTCCAAATCTTTCATTTCTCCATAAAAATCAATTTTCAGTTAGCTCTAGAAAATATCCAGGAAACACCTGTAACTAAAAAATGTATATTTTACTAAAAAGCCCCTTTATAAGGCTAATGTGGGGAAATAATATCAAATCAAAGGGCAAGAGGACTGGGGATTTAGCTCAGTGGTTCTGCTGCCTGCCTCACAACAAGGTCCCAAGTTCAATCCCTGGTACCAAAAAAAAAAGGGAAAGAAGAGGTGCTAGACAAAATGGCAAGAGTATGCTTTCATTTGAATAAATGGAAACTGTTAATAGCCAGGAAATCAGTAAAGATATTTTTGATATCCATTAAAATCTCAAAAGCAGTCTCCAAAGATATAAGCATTACTACGGCATGAAAATGACAATAACTAATAAATGCAGTTCCATATTTTGGATACTATACTTTCTATGTACCACATAGTGGCCCAACCACTTTCTGTAAATTTTCTCATTTAATCTTCACAACAGTATTTAAAGTTTTATCACCTCTATTTTATAAATGGTTAAATTTAGGCTTAGGAAAATCAAATAGGTTGATCTGCTCAAGATCATACTACTGATAAATGACATGGCCAAGCTTTTGAAATCACTTTAGTCTGACTTGCTTTTCTGTATTATAAAAAGGCTTTGGAATTTACAAGAATGATTCCTATTTTATCCCAGAAACTGCTGAATGAAACTTTGTTCTCAGGTTTGAGGAGAATATCTAGATCAGGATAAGTAGTAATTAATAGGTACAAAAGGTATGGCATAGTTTAAGCATATAACACATAAAATTCTTTGCAAATTATTTCAGCAATTACATATTGTACTCTGCATATTTGAAAATTACATGAAGCTTTCTTTTTTGGTACCGGGGATCAAACTCGGGTCCTTGCGCTTGTGCAGCAGGCAGCGAAACCACTGAGCTAAATCCCCAGCCCAGCTGTCTAACATGAAGCTTTCTTGATTTTTGTTGTGAACTTTTTAAACATTTCTTCCTAATTTAACAAACTTTAATGAAACTATCCCTAGATTCCTTTAAAAAATCCTATTTAAGGAAAAAATCAGTTATATTTTCTGACTTAGTTAACTACAAACACAGCAAAGACCACAATCAATATATTATATCTGATTCTTTTTTTTCCCCCTCAGTACCAGGAATTGAACTCAGGACCTTGTGCTTGCCAGGCAGGCGTGGTGCCTCTGAGCTACACGCCTGGCCCATATATCTGATTCTCATGTCCTGAAATAATTATACTGTTGTGGCCATGGCCCTTTCAGGAAAAAATGCCAGTGTCTAAATATCTATTAAAGTGATGGACACATCATTTAAAAAGGCATACAGGGATACATCAAAAAGATTTACATTTGAATTCAAAAGAAGGCTAAGTGGGGATATGAATGAAATACATAAAATCATCAACAACAATGCAAAGATGAAAATACTTATCAATAAACTAAGCCACTAGAATAAGGGACACCTAAAAAGACAGACAATGAAAAGTATGATGTATCTTACTAGGTAGTAAATTTCTACTGATTCCAAATAGTATAAATTAACATTCAGCTGGTCATGGTGGCACATGCCTGTAATTCAGACGTCTGGGGAGCTGAGGCAGGAGCAGTCAAATTCAAACCTGGGAAGTTAGGGAGACTGTCTCAAAATAAAAGTAAAAGAGGGTTGGGTGTAGTGGCACATGCCTGTAATACCATCACTCGGTAGGCTGAGCCAAGTGATCACTGCAAGTATGAGGCCAATTAGGGCTACACAACAAGTTCACGGCCAGCCTGAACTACATAGTGAGACCCTGTCTCAAAAAAAAAAAAGGCTGGGGACGTAGCTCAGTGCAAAGGCCCTTAGGTTCAATCCCCAGTACTGTTGTTGAAAGGGAAAAAAAAGGTTAAATATGTATTAAAAAATAAAACTTAATAAGTTATGGCAAAAGAAAGAAAATTTGAGAATATATCCTATCTTTGAGGCTAAGATTCTTAATACCGTGTTAACACCCAATATAATTATATTATTTAGAATTTGAATGTGGAAGTTTATGAGTTGGATTCAATAATTTAAAAAATAAAAAACATTAATTTTTAATTATCAAAGCTAATTCTGCCAGGAATTTACAGTCATAAAAGGTAAATCAACTAATTCAACCAATTTTCTTCAGTAAATTTTTAAATATCATGTTTCATCCAATCTGACTTGAGCATTTGAAGACTGTAGAGTAACTTATCACTAGAAAGAACATCATTTAAAAGATGTTTTCAAAGCAATGCATACATTTTTTTTCCTTTCAAAACACCGAAAAATGTTGGGCTGAGGATGTAGCTCAGTAGTAGACCACTTGGCTAGCATGTGTGAGGCCCTAGGTTTGAATCCCAGCACTGCAAACAAAACAAAATAAAGCAAAACTGACCTAAGAGTATTATAGATAGTTAAAAACAACAAAAGCTACTTTAAAACAAGCAGCAAATCTTTGAAAATTTTCCTGGTCTGAGAAATGAAATGCTGTAGTGACATCTGGAAAATTAAAAACTGGTTTTCTTAGTAAAATATGATTACTTAGTCAAAGCAACTTTTTGCAAAATCAATTTTGTAATGATATTTTATGTACATCATACTAACTGTTCCTTTGAAGGTTGGGCGTGGTGGCACTTACCTGTAATCCTAGCACTCTGGAGGCTGAGGCAGGGGGAATCACTGAAAGTTCAAGGCTAGGGTGGGCTACATAATGAGTTTAAGGCCAGTCTGGACTACACAGCAAGACCCTGTTTCAAAAAAAACAACAAAAACAAAAACAAAATACAGGCGTGGTGGTGCATGCCTATAATCCCAGCACTTGGGTGGCTGAGGCAGAAGGACTGCCCCAAGTTCAAGACCAGCCTGAATTACAGAATGAAACCCAGTCTCAAAAAACCCACAAAAACCAAAACAAACAAAAAAATTATCTAAAAACCAAATCAAAAAATTAGCAAAACACCCAAAACAAAAAATCAATTCTAGTTACCAATTTTTTTGAGGAGGAAACCAATTTCTTAAATGTTTTTCTGGCAATCCATTATTAATCTCTATATCTTCTTTTGAATAATTTATATACTTTTACATACAACAGGACTGACAGTACTAACTGCAGTTATTAATTTAACAGCAAAGATAAAAAGTATCTTTTTATCTAAAGATAAAAGCTAGGTGTGGTGGCATACCCCTTTAATCCCAGAACTAGGGAGGCTGAAGCAGGAGGATCTCAATGAATTTGAGGCCAGCCTGGGGTACCTAGTGAGGGCAAGGTCAGCTTAATCTATATAGCAAGACACTGTCTCAACAAACAAACAAATAGAAAGTGAAAATATCAACTTAAAAAAATACAGTATCTAGGGCAGGGGATTTAGCTCAGTGGCACCGTGCCTGCCTCACAAGTACAAGGTCCTGGGTTCAATCCCTGGTACCAGAAAAAATAAATAAATAATAAAGTATCTAAATCTAAGGTAAATAAGCAAAGGATTCTCTAAGTGTAGTGTACAATTTAAGAAACTAATCAATAACTTATAGCACTATTAAAATAACATCTCAATTTCTTCTGTATTTAATCACATTTTTGATATTAATTTTTAATTCTAAGTAACTATATAATTCAAGTCATGGTACATATACATACATACATAAACACATTTGTAGTTCTCTCACTACATCATGACATCAAAAGATGGACTTTACTGATGACACCCACATACATGTTATTCAAATAATGTCAGTTATATTCATGTTCATGACACACACAAAATATAATGCTATATAAATGAACACTAACTTTTCTCCATTGGCCCAGGCAAATAAGGTCCCATCCTTACTATAGGTATAAACTTTGCAGTTTTTCCGAGATTCCCTGAAAATGACAAAAAGTTTAAATTAATAAACATTAACACTTTTCAAAAACATGATCATAAAGTCTACGATCTATTAATTTATTAAGAACTTACACAAATTTTAGAAAAACACTCCAAAAAGTTTTAGTCTGCCAAAATACTTACCTTTTAGATTACAGTGCCAACAACCACTGTAAAGTAAGTTGGAAACTGACTTTATACCAACAGATTAATCTTGAGAGAAACAGATCCCTTTCGGGGCGAATAACTAGTTTGTATGGAGACCACAAAAATATAACTGAGTGTGAAAGTTACCAGTTGTCAGCCCTGATTTTACAATTTCAACAGGGAGATTTTGTGGTAAACGTCTGAGAATAGAACAGTGATGGACAGACTACATTAAGTGGCCAACCAATGTCCCTAGATTTGAAGGACAAAGACCATCTATCAATTTCTCATATGTAAAGATAGAACTTATAATAATAGAAAATATTTATATTAAAGATCAATGCAGGATTCTATACAGCATCTGTGAAAATCTAACTACTTGACAATACTCTTATCAAGTAACCAAAACTGTATGAGGTGAAAGGTCAAATTAAAAAAAAAATTACTATAGCAAATTACACACTGCAATTAATCTGAAAAATATTCCTCCTCACTTTGAACATAGAACACATGTTACTTTCTGAAGCAGTTCTGGTTGTTTCAAGTCTTTAGTTGGTTTTACGTACTGTCATAGCTGCCTTGATTTTCTCAATCAATTCAAATCCTTTCATGGTCATTTTAACTTTGGGGAAGAGCCAGAAGTCACATAGTGCTAGATCTGCTGAATAAGGTGGAGGAGGACACGTCACAGTGTTATGAGCCTGCCTCTGTTGGGTGGCACTCAGCAGGAGCATTAACTGTACTTTTGAACACAATTCATAAAGAGACTAACAAATTGCCTCCGAAAGTGGCAAGAACAATGGGATAAGGGTATTTAAAGCAAGGGAGAGTATTCTGAGGGAGATTGATGCCAGTGTGTCTTTTACTGTAATAAATGTGTAACACACATTGTATTTTTCAATCACTCTTTGTAAGTACTATATCACCTCGACTGAAGATGGTCATTATGAATACATCTGCTACCAATAATAAAGACTCAAATAGAAATGTGTATGTGTGTGCAGGTAGTCTATTAGTGTAGAACAACATTACACAAGAACTTTATGGACAAAATGTAACTTCAGTTGCTAAATAACAATTATATCAAGAACTGAACAATACTTTCTTCTTAAACTGAACATTATCTTTGTACTCACTTATCTGAAGATGACATTTGTTTCTGTAATCACTCAGTAATGGTAACTTATATTTGTGCAATTTATTTTCAAACTATAATGCAGAATTTTACAGTTATCTTTGTTAAATTACCCCCAGGTTTTGGTCTATCATTCCAATCTACTCAGATCTACTTAAATATTGATTTTCTCTTTTAAAATATTAGTCATTCTACAGATTCATGTGTAATGTGTAAATTATAAAATATCACTTCTAAATTATCATCTAAATTATTTATAAGAATGTTGAATTAGCTAAGAAAATCTTGTAGTTCATCAACAGTTCTTCCCTTAAACACCAACTCATTAATTAGCTGACCTCATTCTTAACCAATGGCAATTCTGTTATCTTCCAACCCAAAGATTTATTCATTTCTCAGATACTTTGATAAAATCCTGTTTACAGTTCTATAATTCTGATGCAAGTGGGGCATTTGCACAGAAAGTACGTGAGATAAGCTTGAAACTAACTCTTATCATGGTCATCTTGACTCAAAAAACCATCTTTTTATCTCAATGATTATAAATTGCTTTTTTTGGAGATAGGATCTCACGATATAGTCCTGGTTGGCCTTGAACTCACTATGTAGACAAAGCTGCTTCAAATTCATAGGGATCTTCCTGCCTCAGCCTCCTGAATGCTGGGATTACAGGGATGTACCACCTAGCCTGGCATAAAGTATGTTTTTTTAAACAATTCATTCTAGGATAGTATTCAAGACTAAAGGGAAATTTACTGACAACAGAACTCAGAATTCCATTCTTAACCTTGGCAACTGGGAAGTTTTGCCTATTTCCTTTTAGTATACTTTTCAAATGAAAAATTTCAAATATATATAACAATAGAGAAAAACCATGACAATCTACCCATTGTGGGACTGCATAACCTTTGTTCCTTTTTCTCCAGCCCCATTGTGATTAAAATGTGAATTAATGGATGGAGATGCTTGTTAGTTTAGGGACGCTAGATAGAGATCTGTAACAGACCTAGAGTCCCAGAGTAAACTACTCAACTCTTTGTTTACCGGAAACTGATATTCCAGGCACCACAATTGTTAGAACAAGCTGCAGATGTCTGCTGACCATCAATATGTGACAGTCGACCACTAACCTTTGTCCCTTTTCTTTAATTCTATATGTTAACTTCCCCCTCAACCCCCTATAAAAACAGCCTCGGATTCTGAGCCAGTTGCCTCTTTAAGCTATTTTGCTTTGGGAGTGCTGTCTGGCCAGACTAATAAAGGTCTGTTTTCCAACTTGTCCGGTGTGTTCCTTCCCAGGTGTTCTTCGCTGTAGTCAGCTCCTTGGAGCGTTTGGTAAGGCCCTTGGTCTTACACCATGGATCGATTACCAATCTTAAAGCCAATTTTGTTCACTTTTATTTTTAATGCCAGAATATTTCAAGCAAAAACCAGATGTTACATCATTTTATTCTACTTCAGTATGTACCTCTAAGGATTTTTTTCTCTGTGTGATAGTGAGGATTAAACTCAGGACCTTTGCATTGAGCTACATCCCTAAAACAAGGTCTTACTAAACTGCTCACACTGGCCTTGAACTCAATCCTCCTGCCTCAGCCTCCCAAGTAGGTAGGATTACAGGCATGTGCCACTGTGTCCAGTTGACAAGGGTATTTTAAAAACATAATCACCACCGTGCCACTCCATTTCACAAAACTAACTCCTTACTATTACCTAATACCCAGAATTTTGAATTGGATCTGGGTTTTTAAAAAAGCTCTTAAGGGTTCTCTAATGCAGTCAATTTGAGAACTATTCTTCTACAAAACTAGTAAGATTAAAGTTTTTAAATCTTGTTAAAACTGTCATGTAAATTCCATATAGTTCCTATTGCAACTCACTTCGGAGACACACACAATAATATCTTCTGTTCTATTCCTAATGATATTAAGATTGTACTGGATTCAGTCATGTGGCTTGTCAGACTTATCCTTCCTGCTCCTGTGTCTCAACTATTCAATCAATAACATAGCCCTGAATCTCCTAATACCACTGGCTGTCTCAGACTATAGGAGTAGGTACCATACTTTAGCACGGCTTCTATCATGTCCATTGCAGCAAGCAGGAGAAGAATTCTGACTCTCAGCTTCAACCCTAACACTAAAAGGCTTTGGTTACAGGTAAATTTCTTATTCTTCTTCCTCACAAAACTGTTCTGAGAAGGGTTCTGTGGGACTGCATAACTCTGTAATCATAAAACTCCCCTAGCCCCAAATGTGATTGAATGTGAGTAAACAGATAAAGATGCTTGTTAGTTCTGGGACACTAGATAAGATCTGTATCAGCCACAATTATTCAACTCTTTGTTTGAAAACTGACACTGCTATCTATAGAACAATCTACAAAACATCTGCTGACCAACAGTACATGTCAGGCTAATTAACATACAAATGTAAGACCACTAACCTTTGTTCTCTCTTCTGTAAATTTCGCCTGTTAACTTCCCTGCAACCCCCTATAAAAAGAGCCTCGGACTCTGGGCTGATTGCCTCTCTAAACTACTTTGCTTTGGGAGTGCCATCTGGCCAGACTAAGGTCTGTTTTACTTTCCAACTTGTCTGGTGTGTTCCTTCCTGGGTGTTCTACACTGCAGTCAGCTCCTTGGAGCATTTGGTAAGACCCTTGGTCTTACATTCTGGAGGCACCGCTGGGATCCCTGGGTGTGCTTCACTACAGTCAGCTCCTTGGAGCATTTGGTAAGGCCCTTGGTCTTACATTCTGGAGGCACCGCTGGGATCCCTGGGTGTGCTTCACTACAGTCAGCTCCTCGGAGTGTTTGGTAAGGACAGCGTTCTTACAGTTCCATTCAGCCTCTCTAGAGACATTTTGTATACATGACCAAGAAACTGCTATATTTTGTGAATCTTTGGTCAGTTCAGTGGATTACCATTATTTGCTTTGGTTCCTTGTCTGCATCACTTCCCTATTTCTCTTCATTTCTGTAATCTCGGTATTGCACACACCAATGAAATGTAGCATGTAACAGTAATGTACTGTTTTCTAGAGAAATGCCTTTTAAATATTAACATACATATAAATTATCTGAGGATCTGGTTCAAATAGATTTTAATTCAGGAAATTTAGCAAGGCCTGAGATGTTGCAGATAATGCACTGGCTCACTGGTGATGCCAACATAGCTGGTTTGGGGCCCACATTTCCTACAGCAAGGCTCTGGAGAAGTGGTACTAATAAAAACTGATCAATAGATTCAGCTGATGACAACTTGAATATAAAGCTGCCCATCCACAGTTAATCTAATGGTTTTAGCATCTCCTGATGATCACTTGCCTAGATCACTGGTTTGTCTGATTTGTTTTTTGAGACAGAGTCTCGCAATGTAGTTCAGGCTGTCCTTAAACTATGTGGCCTAGGCTGGCCTTGAACTTCTGGTGATTCTCCTGCCTCAGCCTCCTGAGTGCTGGGACTACAGGTGTGTGCCACCATGCCTAGTCAAAATCAATGGTTTTGAAAGGTAGGTCCCCAAATTTGCAACACCAGCATCATCCAAGGATTTATTTAAAATGCACTATTCCTTATCTAATAAATCAGAGTATTTGGGGAGTCAAAGTTTGTGATTTAATAAGCTTTTCAAATAATTCTTTTAAAAAGCAGCAGTATTTTTAATTTATTTTTTAAAGCAAAATATTTATTGGTACATTTTATGTTTTTGATTTTTTTGGTACCAAGGATTGAACTCAGGTTCTTAGCTTGCGAGGCAGGCGGTGGAACCACTGAGTTAAATCCCCGGCCCGTACATTTTTGATATACATAATGGTTAACACTCATCATGGGGACTTTGTACCTCTACATAATATATCCTGCCCCTCAAAATTTCTTAACAATAGTTAAAACACTGTGTATTGTTATCTTCAAAGTAGTTACTTAGAATACAAGATACAAACCAAAAAGATTCTTACAAAAAAGAAACTAATAACAAAACTTTCTTTTCAATAAACTAAGATAAACTTATAGTATAAATAAAA